TTGGCAGACACCTGTCTCTCAAACCAACACCCATGCAACTGATTTCCTCCTGTCACCGAGGCAGGACACAGCCAGGATGCACATGAAGGCCAGAAACTCGGGGACAGGTTCCTAGAACGATCCTAGTGACAGAAAGGTGACCAGCTGCTGGGGGCTCAGCTGTTTGGCTGTGGTGAAGTCAGGTTCCCTCTTGCTCTCTGGGAGCTGTGCCAGCCCCAGAGATGACCTCTCCTCGCAGCGGCAGTGCCTGCCACGCACACTAGTGATGGGGTGAAGCACCACTGCCCTGGCTGGCCACGGCCCCTCACCGCACGCTGCAGGACTACCAGCTCCTGCTGTGCTCCCTGCGTGACCCTGCCTGGTGAGAAAAACTGCAGGCTGTTTTGGAAGAGGGGTGGCATCTCACAGCAAAGCCCAGCACTGCTCCTGCAAGGTTTGCTGCTGGCTGGCAAACCCTTCTCTCCCCACAGTCTGCAGTGGTGTCTGAGCATGTGGGCTGGAAAACAACTTTTGTCCTCATGGGCTCTCTAAGCTCCTCCATGGAGGCTGCCAGCTAGTGCCAATTAGTATTAATCACATTTACTACAGCAATGCTTAAATACCAACTGAGAATTCCCACTGTGCTAGAAAGGGAAAAACGTTTGAGGTGGCAGCTTTGACAGTGGGGATATTGGCCATCGGGAAACGGGACTGAAACCCCTTAACTCCACATATCTCAACCAAGGAGTCCTCACGAGGTAGAATTCTGCTTGCCACTGGCCTGGGTTACAAGGTGTGAAGGAAGGAGCAGAGTCACAATTAAAAAATGGGGCAGAATCCTCAAATTCTGCTGGGAGTGCTCAAGTGATGGTTGCACCCTACTTTCCAGTCCGCTCTTTGCTGACTGTCCTCTCTGGTGGGGAAGAGGGGCTACTGATATTATTTGAGCCCAATGAGTTACCTTCTGGATTCACCTAATTCTTGCCAGTGCCTGGTGACGAATGCCAGCTGCCAGCTTTGGGTGTTGCAGACCACGTCTCCAGCCAGGTGTGAAAGCACGTGGTACAAACAGCCCTTCATCCCTCTGCACGACTTTACATCTGCCACTAAAACCAACAGCTCCCCATCTGCAAAACGGGCATCGTGCTGTTCTCAGTTTGATGAGGCCAGACAGCTGGTGCTGCTAACGCCTCGCCACGTCCCTACAGCCTCTCCCCATTCCACAGGCATTGCGTGACAGAGCCAGCCCGGACAGGCTGTGGAGGTGCAGTCCTGGAGCCTGGAAAGCAGCAAACTTGCACACTCGCAGGGTTGTGCCTGTGTTGGAGTGAAGCACAGGCTCTGACATGCACCGAGAGCATGACTGACACTGCACATTCCAGGCAGAAACAGAGCTTATTGCAACACTGCATCACAGGCCTCTGGTCTCCTGAACTCTCCTGAACAAAAAAAGTGTTGACTGTTCTCAGCCTCTTCCCTCTTGCCCCAACTGCAGTGATTCATTTCTTAGTATCTGCATGGGTAAAGTATTCTCTCTGGCCAGAAAGACTGCTCTGGCCTGGGTGGATGGATAAGGCTGCCTCTTCTGAGATATTCAGTGTCTCCATTCTGGCAAAGGCTCTGTGGACCCAGAGACACAGCCACCCCTGGTCTACTCATCACGGCTGCACACTGCACAGTAAAACTTTCTGGTATCTGGTTGACTTTTTCTAACTCCATCAGTCATATCCAAACTGATGCAAGCAGATGATCTGACAAGATTTCTATTGCATATGCCAGAAATTGCATGTTCAGTTTTCTACTGCAATGGAGGAACTTGATGGACTTGTCAAGCACTACAGAACCAGTAACAAAGAATGTCTCTTCTGAACTGGCATCCACTCCAGCAGCAAAAGGCAAAAAATTCTAGTAGCATGTTGGCGTTGCTTCTATTCTGCATAACTCCATTACTCACCTCTTAACTCCCCACAGAACTGGACACCGTGAGCAGCATCCTATGTCACACTCTCCCCTCAAGCTTGAGACCAGTAGCAGACTTTTCAGCACAGTATGGGGACACTGAAGCTCCAGCACTGAGTGTGTTGGGATTTCTGGGTCTATAGTCTTCTAAAATGGTTATGGGGTAAAAACCATCTTGCCTCACATTAACAGGAGTCTTAGGGGAGGAGATTCTCTGTAGCATCACGCCAGCTGTGGGATCTTTCTACACTTCTTGCATCAGTGACAGCATAGGTCTGCCTATCCTTTTATTCACTCAACCCTCTTCTGTCCTCACTGTTCTTTACACACAGTGCATGTGCCAGGACCTGAGGCCACCTCTTCCATACCAGGCCAGAGCTCCCAGGGCTGTTCCAGAGATTAAGCACCAACAGCTTTGCTGGTTCTTCAACCAAGAAGTCTGCTCTTTACATAAGAGCATGACAAGACACAACTGAGGCCATTTTAGATGCTGCATAAATGTACAGGATCTCAAGAACAGAATACTCTGTCTCCTCTTTTCCAGACAAAATCAACATTTCAACTAATAAAATATTGCCACTTCTTCCCTGCTAGGGTTTCCCTGATATCATTAGGACAAACACATGTCTGTCAGATAAGGCTGCAAAGTTCCTCCTGAGATGCCCTCTTGGCTTCTCTGGATAACCCCTCCACTACCCTCAGGCAGTAGATCAATAATTTAGGTGGAGCTGTAACATCACCCCTGCCAGCTTGCCCAGTTATAGGCAAACATGGCTCTTGTAAGGGAAATGTATTTTCATCTCCATCCATGGCCTGTAATTTGCTGAGTACGAGCACAGTGTATCATAATGACTAAAGTGAAAAGCACAGAGAAACGTCTAAGCACCAGCAGCCTAAAGTGCCTCCTCATCCAAATTTCCTTGGGCCAGCACATTGGCCTGCGGACGCAATACAGCTCAGAGAACTTACTTTGGTCCTCTGTCCAAAATCATGGATACTGGAGACATGGGGAAGGAAGGGAAACGGGGAGGGCTGTGTTTTTTTTCTTTTTGCCTCATTCAAGTATTGAAAGAGAAGCTGCATTATTCTAAATGAACCATCCTGGGCTTAGCTGGGATTTGTGTTTGTTTGGTTTACACGATGCAAGACTCAATGAGAAATATGGCACCTCTCCCACTGTACCATCCACCAGACTGCTTGGCAGGAAACACAAGTCCTTCGCTTGTCGGCACCTTCCCCACATGCCTTCCCAGGGAGACACGGATCCCACGTCCTGGATACAACAGCTCACAAGAAAAGCTCCCACTCTGCTAGCCTGCCTGTCCCTTCTGCGGCGGTGCCATCCCATCAGAGGGCTCTGGAGGCAGAGGAGGAGTTTGTGTGCTCAGCTGTCTGCCTCAGCAAAGTGCACATCGAGATGAGTTGGTGGACAGTGCTGCCCAACAGTTTGGGGGTTGGAGGCTACAGTGTCTTCAGCTGGCGCCGGTTCCACATGCCACGCTTTGAGTGGAACCAGTGGAAAAAGTTCCTCAGGGAGAGACGCTCCACTTCCAGCCCAGCCTGTAAAATCCTGCCAGAAAGAAGGGCAGAATTAGGGAAAACTTGATCACAGAAATACTGGGGGGCTCTGTCTCAGAAAATCTCTTTTATGCTGTGCTGTTGACAGGAGACAGAATGAAACTGAAGAGTCCAGAATAGCTCAGGGGTATCTTGTATCCATAAGCAAGTATTTAATGACACTTGCTGAGTGTCTATGCACCCTTGAGGGCAGGACAGGTAAGGAGTGCCTGCACATGCCAGGCTAGGAGGGAAGACAGCTTGCAGCATGGAATTGCTCAGGAGGCTAGTCTTTTCTGCAGTCAGCAGACAGAAAAGACAGGATAGGCTTCGAAACCTAGAACTACAAACTCAGAGGCCTAGGATTTGTACAGCAGAGATATCTCATCACAAACTTATCAGAAATTGTAACTGTACCTCATGATCTTTAAATGTCTCCCTGATAGTTGATCTTCTGGGCAATTGCTATGTGTTGTATGGGAAGTCTGAGGGATCCAGACTGGACCCACTGTGCACTGCACTGCTTGAAGAGGACAAAGTCTTCACAATTGCCAGTGCCTGATCTGCATGTGGCCAACCCGCAATGTGGCTGGAAGGCTGTAGTAGAGTGCTTTGTGTCTCCTCACCTACTAGGTTTGAGGTCAGGACACACTCAAAGACTCTCACTAACCAAGTTTACGGTGGCAGTAATCATCTCAGTCTCCTTAGATCCCTACTCCCATGGTCAGTGGTCCTCCAGGATCCAATGAGTCTCCCCTCCTGAACACATTAATGATGACAGTGGATGCCTACCTGTCCAGGAGTTCCCAGTCCTCTCCTCCCCAGCGGTCCCGAAACTCTTTGGTGTTCATGCCTCCAATCTTGTCAAGGTCAGACTTGTATATGCCCAGGAGACCAAACCCATTCACCTCCCAGTAGCCTGAGGATAGCACAAAAGAGGCACAGGTATGTTGGTGCTTTGAACCGTTGACGACTCCAGAAGAGCTGCTGGAGAGAGACTCAAGCTACTTTTAGCACAGTGTTGACACCAGAGAAGCAACTCAGCACCAAGGCAGAGCCAACCATGCCAACCAGCTTTGGGAAGTAAGAAAGGCTTCTGGACAGAGAGCCTGAGCTGTCCTTTCAACTTGTTAGCAGAACCTCTCACATCTCCTGTCTGGCAACATAGTACCTAATGATCTTCACAGGCTTGTCCCTGTGCCTGGATGGCTCAGGATGGCCACCTCTGTCTAAAGGAAATCCTATGCTCAGGTGATCTATGTCACTTTCCTTGCTCTGACTTGGGTTGGTTTCCCTCACCCCAGTCTAGCAGCTCTCCTCAGGACAGGTTGTGCCCCCTGAGAAGAGAGAGAAATGGACAGAAAGGAGTAAAGGAGGGGTTTTCCAAGGTCCTTAAATCCATAAGGAGCCCCAGGAGAAACATCATATAAAGGGCTCTGCTAGCTTTTTGATCTCAAATTCCAGGCACCTGATGCTGTTCAACCCCATCTTATGTCTAACACACCCTCACTTAGTGGACCTGGAAGAACTCCAAGCTCTAGATGTTGACAGTGCCAGAGGAACAAATCCAAAGGTGGTTTCCCCATTTCCCAAGGTCTGAGCCACAGAGGCTTCAATCCCTCGTACCGTCAGGCCACTGTGGGGACATGCCGCAGTGCAGCCTCATGACCATGGGTGCGAAGGCCATCTTGCCTTCCACGCAGTGCTTCCTGATGGAATCAACGACGCCGGCTGGGAAGTGGATGTGGAGGTCGCACAGGAAAACGATGCTGTGTGGGTCCTGGAACCAGCCACACCGGTTGGGAAAAATTAGGTTGACTTAAAGGAATTATTTCTTGAGGGGCAGGAAGACAGAGATATGGAAGTCAATTAAAAAGACACTTGTTGCTGCATTAGAAACTGAGATCCCAGAGGCTGGCAAAACGGCCGCTGAGTGGCTGTTCAACGCTAAGTGTGAAATACTATGACTGTGACCTCGCAGAACCAGTACCACAAAGCTGCTACTGCTGAGTTCCCTCCTGTCTGACAGTTGCAGTATGTGGACTGAGAATCAAACAGGCCACAGGCTCCTCAGAAGAAAGGGTGAGTCCCTTACTCTGGAAGGACAGGAAACACATCTACATTTGATCTGGTCTGCTAGGCTACTCCCTTCCCTAAAAAACAGCGTGTTCAGTACCAAAGGCAGCGATAGCACCAGACACACACCACAAACTTCCCTGTCCACTCCAAGAGCCCCCAGACTTACCGACACAAGGTCGATCCCCGCCTGCAGCCCAGCAGAGCGCTCGAAATTCCCTGTCAGCTTCAGGTACTGATAGCTGGGGGTTAGATGGGAAAGCAAAGTTCAGTGTGTGCATGCAGAGAAAGCACTGCAGGCACTGGTACACCACAGACATCCTGCCCTCATGCACCCTCTCAGGGAGCAGCAGAGCCTTTGCTGGGTAAGTGCACAAGCTCGGTGCTGCTCCAGGTCTCAGCATGCCCTGAGGGTTTCCCTCCTTGTGCAGCAAGGACAGGGCAGCACCTACCAAAAGTCTTTTCAGCTAGTCCAGCTCTATCCTAGAACTAGACTGGTTACTGGAATCCCTGGCATGTAAAGGAAACAACCAATACACTAGGTATTGCCTCACGCTTTCGTGACACTGTTTTATGCACATCGTAACAACATCTATATGTCCCGTCTGGATGGATGTCACTGCCAGTCTCCAGCTGCAGCAGAGACACAGCCAGCACACAGAGCCAGCAGATGTGCCGCGTTCGCAGGCGCACGCGCACGAGCCGTGTTTGGTGACCCAGCAGTGCTCTCACCTGTGCAAGGTAGATCTTTTCAGAGCCTTCTCTACATCCATGTCATTGCTGCTGTAGTCTGTGATGATGACGCTGAAGTAGGGATCCTTAGTGACTTGGAACAGTTCTTCCATGTCAGAGATGAACTGTAGCACCCAACGTGCCTGGTTTTTCACTGTTTGTATCGCAACAGGGAGAGAACCAAAGCAAACTGATTGCAGGGATGGTGTTTCTCAACAGGCAAGGTTTCCTGCCTCCCGTGAAACCCCGCTAACCTTGCAGGGATACTGAAATAGGCCCAGGTTGAAAACCTGGACCAAAGAGCTAAGGAATCAGTGTGGGCTCTTTCCCAGTGTGTGACAGGAATTTTCTATGAGTTACAAGCCATGGGAGTTTGGGCCCTATCATATTTCTAAGGGGATTTAACTTGGACACAACAGAAACATGGGAGTTTGGGCCCTATCATATTTCTGAGGGGATTTAACGTGGACACAACAGAAACTGGCAATAACCCAAATAAGATGGTTGAGGCTGAGCCAGACCTACCGTTCAGGACTGCCCTCCTGGGAACCACCCACTGTGCCGTCCCTCGATGTCCTGGGGCGGCAGGTCCCCTTACCTGGCACCACGAAGTGAACCATGGCACGGTGGTTCCAGGAAAAGCCCTGGGGCCAACACAGCTCTGGCTCCTTTGCCACAGCCATCAGGTGCCGCCGGCGACCCCATGCCAGGTTCCTCATCTTCCTCTCCTCCTCCTCGTCGCCACCGCTGCCCTGCCAGCCCCGCGCAAAGATGTACTCAGAGAAGCGGACGAGTCGCTCTCCCTCCTCCAGCAGCTCCAGCTCCAGCAGGTAGCGGCTGCCCCGCACGCGGTCCTGGCGCTTCTCCACATTCACGATCCGCTGCAGCTGGAATCTCCTGCAGGTGATACACCTCTGGCATGGGCATATCCCCTGTACACCAGTCCCTCCCACCTCCAGCCCACTCAGCTCTGCTAGGCTCCTTCCTCCTCACTAGCACAAACCTTTTTGTCCCCAGCTTCCCCTTGCTTTGCTGCACTGCTCAGTCCTATGGGAAGGTTTAACACCTGTTTCCCAAATCCACAGGCATGTGGGATTAGACGTGGGATTCCAGCCAAGAGAAAATATTTGGCAGGAGAAATGAAGTAAAGGTGACACAAAAATAACAAATGTGTCTGAGTGACTGTAGGGCTGGTAATAGGGAGTGTATTCGACACCGCCTACAACGATCTTGGCACAAGGAGTATGTTTGGGCTAGTGAAACTGGCTCGTGACAGCTTATCAGCCAGTAACATGGAGTAGGACTGAGCAATCATACAGGAGAAACTGTTGTGAGCTGTAGGTTCAGAATGGCCAAAACTGGATGAAATGACAGGATCCTAACAGGAGTTTCTGCTGTAAAAGAGATGCTCTTCAGTTAAAAATGCTGAGAAAGACCTGTGCGTATCGATCCGTTTCACCTGACTGTGACTGATGTGACCCTGAAAAAACAAGTGTGATCTTAAGTCCAGCAGGGACTGGAAACTAATACCACCCATTGTATAAAACAGACAGGATACCGGTCACTTATGTATAGGAAAATTAACCCAAACTGAAACCTGCATGCTTGTAAGAAAATTATGGAAATAGTGGCCAACCCAACAGAAGCATCAGCAGTTGGATTGTTTAGCTTATGGAGGCTCAGAGAAAGTATGCCTGTTTTCCAGAAAGGCAATCAAGATGGCAAGTCTTGAGAAGAAAAACAACCATATCAAGACCATGTAAAAAGTACCAGCAAAAAATGATAGCATTTCTCAGCCAAAAGAATTATATTTAAAGCCCAATGGTTTTCCTTGCCTGAAATCTTATTTCCCACATCTAGTTTATCCTCTGATTCTCACAAGTTACTCATGACAGGCATTCCCTGTGCAGCATGGTCCACCAGCTCCAGGACACTGCCCTGGGGTTTTCTCATTGTGCCTTACCCTTTACTCCTCTGGTTGAGCTTCTTCAGGAAGACACGTGTGACCTCCAGGGCCTCCCTTTCTCTTAGCAGCAAGTTTCCTGACGTGTTGCATTTCAGGTCAATCCAGTCTGTGCGCAGCATATGGAAGTCCAGGTTGCTCGTGCTGAAGGTCTGCTCCCAGTTCACTGCCTGGTCAAACACTGGTACGTAATCGAAATCCTCCTCATCTTCCTCCTCTGCCTCCCCATCCACCTCTTCCTCTTCTGCTGCCATAGGTCCAGACTTGCCCTTCACTGGAGATGCCACCTGTGTCTCTCCTTTGCCTGCATCCCCACCATTGCCTGCCTTCTGCTCAGCGATGTAGAGCTCCACTTGGTTCAGCCACTGCAGCAGCCCAGAACGCTGGCTGGGAATGGCAGAGCTCACAGTGTGCCTGCTGGCTTTGCCAGAGACTGGGCCTCCTCTCCCAGCTGGCTGGCCCGGTGCCTGCTGGCTGCAGCCTGTCCTTAGCAGTGCTCAGGTCTCCTCGAGGTCTCAGCCCTTTGGGAACTGTCACCCCTGAGTCCCTTGGGTGGCCTGGAGACTGCTGTCTTTGAGACACGGTCCTAGAAGGAGGAGTTGCCTTTCTGACAAGCACTCTCCCCTGGCTGGCCCCAGCGTGCTGTGGAGGGTTCCTGGAGCTGTCTTTGATGCCAGCTTTTAAACGGAGTCTCTTTATTACTGTGTTCTCCTCTGGGCCAGCCTGGCTGAGGCTTTGGTTGGTAGAGGCCAGCATGGTTGGTTTGACACCAGATCTCTTTGGCCTTCTCCTCTGTATCTCCTCTCCTATGTTACTACCCATCACTGAGAGGAGCCGACGACGCTCCTGGAGGGCATAGTCCTTGTGTATATTATCTCTGCCCGCAATGCTGCTGGGAGCATTGCCTGCTGGCTCTGCCCTCCCTGTGTCAGGGTGTTCAGGGGGACTGGTGCTCTCCATGTCCTGCTCCTGGTACTGCAGGTCATCCAGGTTCCCCTCCTGGGAGCCTACAGGAGTAATCAAAGTTACATCTCTGGCATCCTCCTGCTGCCTTCCCTGTCCTGACTCAGGCACCCACCCTGCTGGGGGCAGCTAATTCTCACCTCATCTCAGTGCTGCCTATCCTGCTCAGAGGGACAGGGATGCTCTCACACACAGGAGCTGTGCTCTTGCTGGTACCAACCTCCTCAGCACCGATTAGCCATCACTGCCAAAGCCTTTAGGTGTCAGTCTGGGCACAACTTTTCAGGGCAGGTGTGAGTGTAGGCTGCCACACTGAACACCTTTGGCTCTGTCTCCCCTGCCCATGTGTTTGCTGGAATTGCACCTCAACTAAGCTGTGGACCTGAGAGGTAGTTGTCATGTTGTGTCCTACAGCCCACTGTTTGGTGACCTCCCAACCTGCCCTTATGAGAAGCAAACGTGGCAGCAAAAATCTCCTCCCAGAGACAGCAATCTGGCAGAGAAGGTTTGTGACTTCCTTGGTATGGTGTCATGGTTTAACCCCAGCCAGAAATCAAGCTCCACGCAGCCACTTGCTCACACCCCCATGCTGATGGTGGGGAGAATCAAAAGGGTAAAAGCTAGAAAACTCATGGGTTGATATAAAGAACAGTTTAATAGGGAAAGCAAAGGCCACACACAAGTAAAGCAAAACAAGGAATTAATTCCCTGCTTCCCATGGACAGGAGGTGTTCAGCATCTCCAGGACAGCAGGGCCACATCACACAGACCGGTGACTTGAGAAGGCAAACACCATCACTCCAACATCTCCACTTTCCTCCTTCTTCCTCCCACTTATATACTGAGCATGATGTTCTATGGTGTGGAATATCCTGCTGGTCAGTTGGGGTCACCTGTCCCAG